CACACACACACACACACACACACACACACACACACACACGGCATTCATCAAGAACCCCCACTGAATCCCAACACCTCTGTACTGCCCAAGGTTAATCCCCTTTAGCTTGGTGGTGTTCTCTTTGAGGCTCTGTCGATATCTTTCCATGTTTCTGGAAACGTGCAGAACCAGAGTGGATGCCGCCCTAATATGAGCACCAGCTGGCTTCCTACTCCGTGCCCCTCTACAACCATGCATTTCAGCACATCCCAGAACTTTCTAGCATTGGGCCAAACTCCCACCCAAATGTGGGCTGGGGACTATGTGACACCCCCACCCCCAGCCCCGCCAAGTGGGTGCCCACACCACTGTTTCTTTCTGCCTTAGTAGATTCCCATCCCAGGTGAACCTGAACTGGCTTCAGTGAATTATATCCCGTTCTTAAAGGATTAGGTCTCTAATTTGTCATGGTCATTTGGAATTCCATGTCTATGTCCCAGCTGTTAAGGGGCTGGGCAGCCTGCTAATTGAATGCACTAAAGACGGGATGGATTAACTGTGGTGGAGGCACGTGGCTGTGGGGAACAGGCAGTACCAGGTGGAGGACCAGGGCCCCCCAGATAATGTGTAGCACCACAAGTCCTTTCCAGAGAAGACTGGACGCAAGTGAGATCCTCTCTCCATGTTCCGCTTTGTACCTCAGACCCAGCCTTCCACTCAGTCATGTTGTAACATTACCCACCACCAGGTCCTCCCCTTCTCCTGGGAATCTTGACTTCCCTGACTTTTCGCCAGTTACATGTGTGAGGTGGAGGTGGGGAGGTTGAGCCTAGTGTTGTCTCAGGTGTATGGGCCCTGCCTGGCTGCCTCGAATGATGCGTGCTCTCAGAAGCCACCAGCTTGGCAACTAAAGAGTTGCTCGCAGAAGCAGGTAAGAGACATCAAAAGGGGCTGCTGTGGATCCCTCCCAGGTGTACAGAAAGAGGCCTGGTGGTGCAGTAGGTTAGGCTTTGGGCTGGCGGTTCAAACCCACCAGTCACTCCTCAAGGAAAAAGATGAAGCAGTCTGCTGCTCTAAAGATTTACGTCTTTGGAAACTCTAGGGACTGGTTTTACTTTGCCCTAAAGCAGGAGTGGGGAATGTTCAGCCCATGGACCATAAAATACCCGCGAAATCATTTGGTCTGGCCCTGCCAAGACAAGTAAAGGTCCAGCCATCACATTTGTTGTTGCTACTTTTACTTGCCATCGAGTCGGCACCGACTCATAGCGACCTTATGCACAGCAGAATGAAACACTGCTTGATCCTGGGTCAACCTCACTATTGTTGCCACGCTTGAGTCCATCGATGCTGTTACTTGGCCAGTCCATCTCGTTGGGGGTCTTCCTCTTTTTCTCTGACCCTCCACCATACCAAACATGATATCCTTCTCCAGCGACTGGTCCCTCCTGACAATATGTCCAAGGTATGGGGATGAGTTAATTAAATGTTTGACCAAACACAGCAGGCTGATTTTAAGTTGATAATTCTGTATGGTCCACAAATGAAGTTATAAAGTTTGGTAGAAAAAAGGTTCCCTACCCCTGCCCTACCTCTGTCCTGGTGTGGCACTCTGGGTTAATGCACTGGACTGCAAAGTCGATTTGAACTGCAAGGTTGGAGGTTCAAGGTCACCAGCTGCTCCTGGGAAACCTTATATAGGATTGCTGTGGATTGGAACTGACCCAAAGGCATTTAATAACAACCACCACCCCTGTCCTAAAGGGTCATTATGAGACAGAATCGACTCTTTGGGTTTTGAATTTGGAGTGACACAGTTTGTGCTGAAAATTGGAGGAAGATTAGTGGTTCAAACCCACTCAGTGGTGCAGTGGGAGAAGGGCTGGAAACACCATTTTGTAGAAGTTAGATATGATTCTGGGGCCGGCCCATGTGCATGTGTTTGCATGATTCTGTATCTGTGGTCCTTCACAAGGGGTAGTTTTCCCTGGAGAAACAAGTGATTGGAGTGGGGTTGAGGGCAGGAATGTTGCTCAACACCTTAGAATGCACAGAGCTGCTTCCATGGCTTGAAAGAATGCCTTCTTAGAATGTCAGCAGTGCCACGTCCCCTACTCATCCTGCTTTCTTCCTTGTCACCCCAAATGCAGCCCAGTGGTTTGCTGCATTTGGGGCTCTTTGCAGGAAGTGGTGACGTTTCTCCTAAGGGTTCCTGAACTTTCTACTGCATGAGAGCTGCTTGTCATCCCAAGAGCAAAATGTACATTTTTTTTCTCTGCAGAACCTGAGAGCCAGGAGCAACAAGGATTCCAAGGACCAAACCACAAAGAACTCTCTGGAAAGTAAGCTGAGAGCTTTGTGCCGTGGTGGGGGCAGCAGAAGGGGCATCCAGCTGAACTACCTCCTGTGAGCAAGGGAAGGGCCAGCTCTGGGCATGGCAGGGATAGCCAGGACCTGTCTGTCCCCAGCAGAAACAATGGGTGAATGGTGAGAGGAGGGGAGTTTTCAGAGCCAAGCAGTGCACTGGGCTTTTAAAATGGCATGGTGTCACCCCCAGCAGACCTGAAGGGGAAGGATGGTACTTTCCTTGCTTTCAGATGACAATGGGAAGTGGTCGTGTGGAGCCCAGGTTCTAGGTGGCCAGCCAGGCAGGAGTCACATATAGAGTTGCCTGACTCCCGGGCCCAACAGGTTGATGTCATGCCCGGCAGATAATAAATCATCTGGTCCTTTGGACCGTTAGGATAGTGTGAATGGCGACAGCGTGAATGCGTCCACTTACAGAAGACAGATAGATGTGGCTCTGACCCCAGCTCCATCATGTACCAGCTCTCCGTTTCCCCACTGCAATGGGCATAGTAATTGGCCTTTTCTAGTTGTGGGAGTTACATGAGAGAGGTTTCTGAATGTGTCTGGGCCCCCGCCACGACCATCAGCGGGCAGCCTCCAGAGACCACCAGCACTTGAGTTGACTTCTGCCATTCTCAGAGTCAGGTTGCCCACATGCCCTGGGGTCAGAATTGGGCACAGCAGTGGCCCGTTTCTAAGAACAGGTCTCCTGCCAAGGTTGAGGCCCTCAGTAGCTTATCTGGGCACCAGTAGCTCCATGTCTGAGTTGGGAGGAGTGTCATCTGAGTCTTGTTAACTATCGTCACCGATCAGCCCCCACACAGGCTTGAGTTCTGCCCACATCCCCCGGCTTACCTGGTCCCTGAGCAGAGGGCTATGCTGCCGCCCCTGCTCACAGCTGCATCTTTCCACAGCCCTGCTCTACAAGCCTGTGGACCGGGTGACTCGAAGCACACTTGTCCTGCATGTAAGTCACAGCACCTGAGGATGCTCCTCTGCCCCACCCACCCCACTCGCAGATCTATACACCTGTATGGAGAATGCAGAAGTCAGAGCTTCTGCCGCCCACAAAATCATTGGGGGCAGAACTTAGACAGGGTTTGCATTGTCCATAGGGCACCTCAAAAGGTGGGCACAGGCAGAAGGGGCACAATGAGGACAGGTGTCAAGGTGGGCAGGGGGGACACATCACAGAGGCCATAGTGCAAGAGTCTCTGAGGTGGCTAGGGTCAAGAGCAGATAAATGCACTCAGGTAGCTGGCACCTCCCTGCCTGAGTAGAGGAGTAAGTAGGTAGCAGCATCCTTGTCTTCATGCAGGAGGCCCAGGTTTGAATCCTGACTGAGACACCTCATGTTCAGTCACCACCTGTCTGTCAGTGGAGACTTAGCTTTTGCTATGATGCTGAACAGATTTCAGCCGAGTTTCCAGACTAAGATGAATGAGAAAGGCCTGATGATTGACTTGGAGTATCAGGCACTGAGAATACAATAGGTCACAGTGGTTTGATCCTGTTGAGCATGAGGTCATCATGACTCAGGGGCTAGCCCAATAACAGCAGCTATAGCTCCCTGAGCTCATGACAACATGGGACCCCATCTTAAGCCAGACTCCACATCCACAGCTGGGTGGCATGTGCATGTGGGTGCAAGTGTGTGTGCATGTGAGTGTGTTTGCACATGTGCACGTGGTGTCTGTGCATGGATGTGGTTGTCTGTCTGAGGTTGCAGATAGCCATCGACAGGTGCTGACCTATTTCACCTGAGTCCTTCCACTCTGGGGCAGGATCTGCTGAAACACACGCCATCTAGCCACCCCGACCACCCACTGCTACAGGACGCCCTCCGGATCTCACAGAACTTCCTGTCCAGTATCAACGAGGAGATCACGCCCCGCCGACAGTCCATGACCGTCAAGAAGGGCGAGGTGAGTGGGGCCAGGGCACCCCCAGCACCCTTGGCTTGCTTCTCAAAAGACTGCCCTGGGTGGTACGGGGGGCTTCAAAAAGTTCATGGACAGATTTAATTCTCCTTCCATGTCCTTTCTCCACAAGCTTTTTGAAGCCTCCTTGTACAGATGGCTCATGCACTCAGCTGTTTATCAAAACCCTGTGGGATCTTTGACCCTGTGTATGAGGCGTTGGGTGACTTTGCAGTGATGACCCTGTTTGTCCATGCCTTCCAGACAGCTGCTGTCTCTACAGTGGGTCATGTCCATGTGCCCTTCTCCCCAACACCATCCCTTTGTTTGGTGGTTCCATCTGAAAAGATTGGTGAGAAGGAACGTAGCATCTTGTCTGCCTGCTACTCAGTTAATTCCTCCTGTGTGCTCTTCTATTAAACCAGTTGCCACCGAGTCAACACAAACTTATGACAACCTCATGCGTGTCAGACTAGAACTGCACTCCATAAGGTTTTCAGTGACTGAGTTTTAAGAAATAGATTGCCAGGCCTTTCTTCCAAGGCTTCTCTGAATGTACTTGAACCTTCATCCTTCAGGTTAACAGCTGGGCACATTCACTGTTTGCACCTTCCAGGAACTGACCCTGGAAGTCCTAGCTAATACATTTAGACAAGAAAAGGAAATAAAAGGTACAAGGGGACTTCAAAAAGGATGTGGAAAAGTTCCATTCTCTTTTAATTCTATTTCCCTGTGCAGTTTTGAAATTCCCTTGGATATAGATTGGGAAGGAAAAAACAAAACTGTTTGTAGCTGGTATGTTTGTGTAGAAAATTCTAAAGAATCAACACCCAAAACTCCTGAAATTAATATGTGGTTTTAGCCAGATGGCTGGATGCAGGGTTAATATGCAGAAACGCGTTTTTTAGCTTTACACCAGCAAGGAGCAACTGGAATTTGAAATCAAAGGGATGGAATGGGAAGGGCATTGGCTTTCTCCCTTGTGAGAAACTAAAGGATGCATGTATACCTTGTGGGTACTACTGCCATCCCTTCTGGAGGTTCCCGCTGAGCAGAGGCACAGAGACTACAAAATCATAATTACAGGCAAAGCCATGTCCCCTGGTGGAGGTCCTATGTCGTAGATATTTGCAAACAGAGTTTCTTGAGTTCCTCACTTGTCTGGAGGCTGTTCTAACTCTTGCCAATAATGGGGACATGTCATGCAGCTCTCTGAGCCTGTCTGTCCCATGAGATGAGAACAGAGCGAGCTGAAGAGCGAGCTAGGCTCTGTCAGAAGGTGCTCAGTGAACAGTCACTGCTGATGTACTTGCTATAAATCGTGACTTCCGGGCCCCACCCTGCCCTCCTTGTGGCAGGCTCTTGTCCCCTGTGGGCCTCTCAGGTCCTGAGTTCACCCCTGGTAATGACTGTCTTAGGATCCTGGCCTTAGGAAAGGGGCAGAGGTTTTTGCAAAAGGCCAGTTAGCCAAATGTGTTGGTATTGGAAAACCAGTGAGAGGGAGGGACAGGACCTCAGCTCAGGTATTCCACACCTGCCCATCAGCACCCCGGAGCCCACCAAGTCACACCACACGGCCAGGCCTGTGATCTGAGCCACTTAAGTTGGCAGTGTCCCCCAGGCCATCTCTGGGGGCATGAGAGCACAGAGTCCAGCCCACCCCAGCCTGCAGCCAGCCTTCACTCGCGCCTTCCCATAACCCACTCCCTTCTCCATGTCCTTTTTTTGTGGTTGTCTTTAGTGATATTCTCTGCTCCCACCTGGCATGTCATATATATGGTTCAGTCGCCAGTTCCTGAACCCAGAGCCCATGGAACCTGATTCTCTGGCTTTTTACATGTACTCTTTCTATAAGGGCTTCCCGGGAGGCTCCGCAAGGGCTGGAGGCAGGAGCTGGTGTTGGCAGGGGTGGAGGCGTGATCCCCATGGCCCCCTGCTGAGGCTGCCCCTCCTCAGAAGATAGTTGGACATGTGGTGATGTAGCACACCAACTATAAATGGGGTGATGGGGCCTCCGAAGTTATTGTGAGGAGGGGTTAGGGTGTCCATGGGCACCAGTACAAGGCTCATGAATGGCTGCTGAGGGCACCATGGGAGGCCCCTGAGGTACCATTTCCTTTAATCCTCTAAAAAATTTCATCGGACAGGTACCTTATAGGGATCTTATGGAAACAGAGGCTCAGAGAAGCTAAGGTTCAGTGTTGTCATCCTGGGAAAACAGAGAGGGAAGGGCAGGTTGCAGGCAATGAGGTACGAAATGATCCCCCAACTTCTTCATTCTCTTGGGGGGGCCCAATGGGCAATGTGATCTATCATTTGAGAAGGTAGGGTGGTGTCCCTGCCAGCTGATGTTTCCCATGGGGACATAGACATACCCCAAAGAGAATATGCTGTCAGGATGCCTCCCAGGGTCCTCCGATACACCAGGTGCTACATAACCACACATGCAGGCCTGGGGGTTCATTTACTTAAGGACACACACATAATACACATACTAAGCTGAAACCAAACCCACTGCCGTAAAGTTGATTCCACCTCATAGCAACCCTATGTAGGGTTTCCTCTTTCTCCCTCGAAGTGACTGGTAAATTCAAACTACTGCACTGGTACTTAGCTGCTCTCATTGAATAACCCAGTATGCCACCGAGGTCCTGGTATACACACATATACACACACCACTGTACACTCACACAAGGATATATATATATACAGGAATGCACATGTATACACACACTGGTGTACACTCACACAGGGACACTCACATATACAGGGATACTCATATACATGGGAATGCACATGTATACACACACACAGATATGTACTCACACAGAGAAACTCATGCATATATACATGGATACACATATGCCCAAGAATACACATGTATACACACATAGGTATAAACTCACACAGGGATATTCACACATGTATACAGGGATACTCATATACTCAGGAATGCATATGTATACACACAGGTATAAACTCACACAGAGACACTCAAAGATATACAGGGATACACATATACGCAGGAGTGTACATGTATACATACACAGGTATAAACTCACTCAGGGACACTCACATATACAGGGATGCACATGTATACACACACTGGTATACATGTACACAGGAACATACACACACATACAGAGATGCACATATACACGGGAATGTACACTTATACACATACCAGTTTCATTGACACGGGGACACATATATGCACATGGGTATGTGCACATATACATACATACAAGGGCACACATGGGGACACACACATACTCCCAGTCCTGGGAAACTGGCTTCAGGGATTGTCCCTGCCTTCAGCATCATGTCCCAGATATGGTATGGCTCCCACCCTTTCTCAATAGTTCACCATGGGTGCTCATCAGGGTGAGTAGACCAGCACTACCTCAGCACCCACCTAGAGCTGTGACTGGACGTGACCAGTGTCTGCTCAGGGTGGAGTCAGCTGGATTTAGTACCTGCTTTAGGGCCGCACATTCTTCACTGCACAGGCCAGGGATGAGTTGCTGAGCCCCTCTGGAGGGTCGTGTGAGCAGGCTGTGTGTGGCCAGACACTCTTTGGTGGGCTGGCAGGTAGGGTCAGGTGGTGGGATCCATTCAGCCCCAGTGAGCAGGATGAAGCACAAGGATCAACTCAGCCACCTTGCTCAGGATGGGGGGGGGGGTCCTGTGAGGCCCTGCACCCCCAGGCAGATACTGCCCATCTTCTATATTCCGTCTCATTCCACCCCCCACCCCCATCACCCTGGTCTGTCACTGCTGCCTCTCCTCTTCCTAGAAGTGGAATGTGGGCAGAGACCTCCCAGGTGGGACTCCAGGCTCGACTCTAAGCCAGCCTGACCTCACCCATGACCTTCATCACCAAAGTCAAGGTGGATGTGCTTACTGCAGTAGACAGCAGAGGCAAAGCAACCACCCCATTGTGGGCTTGTCAACCCTGGTGTCCCTGGGTATGAAAGAGGTAGAAGTCTTCCACACGCGGACTCTGTGTGGGCGGTCTGACTGAGCCCTGTGAATGAAGGAGGGCTGAGTCCTCTCATGGAAGGACCCCACCACCCTGCCGAAATATGTACTGTGAATCTGGTTCCCAGCCTTCCCAAGGACCCTCAAGTGGCCTGTGGAGGCCGACTCTACACTGTGCAGAGTGATAGTTGGACTCTTCAGGGTCTGGACATTGACGCAAATCCTGGAAGACCCAGAATGTCACATGGTCCCGTCAGGGGACCAGGGCGATCAGGTCTTAGCCTCTGCTGTGCCCTCAGTTCCAGATATGTGACTAAGTAGATGGAATCAGACCTGGAAAGCCCCCTCCTGCAGGACAGGCCCCTGGCTGGGAGAGCTGGTCTCCCCACCGACCCTCCACTGCAGGGTCCACCCCCTGTAGGCCTGTATTCTTGGTGCTGGGACGCCTCCTTTCCCTTCATGGATTCTGAGGCAGCCGTGGCCTCTGAGTTTGTCTTAGAAAGAGGGTTTGCACAGTACAGTGCACAGGATGAAGCCTCCCAGCCAGTATTCATGTTCCAGAGGGGCCTGTGTCCTCCCACCCCACAATTGCTCCCTGTTTCTTCTCAACACGGGGCTTGGGAGGTCCAGTCTGCCTGCCCACAGGTGCTGGGCTAACACCTGGACAAAGACGGATGCCTGAAAGGACTCCAAACAGATATGGAGACATCTCAGGATCTTTGGGGTGGGGGCCAGTGCTGGTGACTGTGTGTCTGGAGTTGCTGCTGCTCCATCCCGCCCCAAGTGTGTGTGATGCACCCCTATGTGGGAAACTAGGGTCGAGGACTGGAAGACCCTCTGAGAGCTGTGTCCTTTCCCTGAGAGCCTCAGTGACTGGGACCCTCCTCAGACTGGTTACCTCCACACACATCCCCTCCCTCACCATAGGCCTGTGCCCAGCTGGAATTCTCAAGAATGCTTGTTACACAGAAGGGTGCCCCCGGGTCCCTGTTTATCAGCAGGACAATGGGACAGGAGGGACTATAGTTGGCCTGAGGGTTGCACCTCTAAGATCATCTCCTTCCTAGAGCATCATCACCTCCAGAGGTTGTCTGGGAGGGTCCTGTCACCTGACCCACCCCCTCCTGTTCCCACAGCACCGGCAGCTGCTGAAGGACAGCTTCATGGTGGAGCTGGTGGAGGGGGCCCGCAAGCTGCGCCATGTCTTCCTGTTCACCGACCTGCTGCTCTGTGCCAAGCTCAAGAAGCAGAGTGGAGGGTGAGAGATGAGGCAGGGCACCTCAGAAGGGAGGAGGTCTCTCTGAAGGGGAGGAGGGTGCTAGATCGATTTTGTACATGGAGGATTTGCACCTTGGAGATGCCCAGACTGGCCTCTCACTAAGCCGCTGCATGCTGAGGAGTGGTGTCCATCCAGTCCCCAAGGTGTGGATTGGACTGATCCCATCCTTCCATTTCTCCATCCTCTGACCCCCGCCACCCGGAGTTGGGTCACAGCTCACAGGCTAAAGGACACCATTCGTCAGATTGCCAGCATGCACGTTTGGGAGTCCAAACAACATCTCAGCCTTCTCCCCTACTGGCCCCAGATTCGAGGCTGATTTCCTTCCAGGAAGCCAGCTGCAAGCTCAGTGGTCCATGCCACACCCTCACTCCCTGACCAGCTGGTTCCCACTGCCCCTTTGGGCTCCATCATTTGCTGGGATGATTCATAGAACTCATGGGGAGTGTCCCGTACTTACAGCTACAGATTGAGTACAACCACAAAGGATGCAAATGAAGAGACACACAGAGCGAGGCAGCACACACAGAGCGAGGCAGCCTCCGGAGCTCCAGGTCACAGGGCTGTGCCCATCAACCAGGAAGCTCTCTGAGCCTCAGGGATCAGAGTCTTTATATTGACCACCCACATGATGGCCATGATGGATACCATTAGCCTCCTAAGGCTCAATCGATCCCTGCAAAAATGGCCTGGAGACAGTATATGACCTCATCTGGCTTCACAAGAGGAAAGGGGAAGAATCACCAGCCCAAGACCTGTGTGGTGGAGGTCAGACATGCCTCCACTCTCCAACCTTCTGTATCTATCCTGACACCAGCCATTCCTCCCACACCTCTACTTCTCTGCTGGATTTGATAATCCCTTGCCATGGCCACACAGACAATACTCATGATTATGGGGTTTATTAGGGAAGTAAAAAGGGTGCAGTTCAGGATCAGGAACAACTCAGGATGCAGCAATTCTCTGGTCGGGAGCACCTCTTCTCAGCTACACTGCAGGCATGCATGCCTTTCTCTGGTCCTAGCCTCTCAGCCTCTTGGAGTCTACCCTGCTCTGGCAAGTGTTATCAGCTCCTTTAGTGCTGCTGATGGATCTCCAGAGGGCACCAATTCTGCAAGTTAGCCTCCTGCCTGAGGCAGCAATCAACGTCACCTGTGCTGAGAGCTGGGAAGCCCGCTGCTCTGTTTCTTGGTGCCACTGCCCAAAACCAGTCTATCGCTGTCTGTCAGAATTCAAAGATAGCTATTTACCATAGTTCTTTCTTCACGGTCCAGAGATTCTCTGTTCCTGCTTCTGAGATGACTCCTTTTTAAACCTAGTGAGATGGCAAAACTAACCAATCCCCATGTTCAAGTCGCACGTCCTATTGGTGTGAGTTAGGAGGATTTAGGATTAAAGATCCATATCAATGAGCAAATGCACTGTACCACAGCCCCCAGGTGGTTCCTTCTTGTCTCAGCAGCCCTGACTCACTGGCCCCAGTGGAGTGTAGTTCAGCTTTAGGAACCAGGGCCAAAGTCCAAGTTGCTTTCTTCAACTCCCAACAACATTCTGTTTCCAACTAGTTGTGATGCCAGTCTCGAGGTCAAAGGGGTCGCAGTCAGTGCAGAGATGTCAAGTCAAGTTGGCCCTTTGCAGAGGGAAGGGGAAGCCTCACTATGATGCCACGTGCTAGGAGAGTGATGTCCTGTGGCCCAGCCAGCGCCACAGGTTCCTTCCTGTCCCTGGCACATGTCTAAAATGTGTCCCCTGAGTCTGATGACAGCTTCTGGATTACACACTGAGGCCTGCAACCCCGGGGTTATGTCTTCTGGTGCCAGGATTGAGTCACCTTGGGAGGGACTGGCTCTTCCCATCTTCCAGGCCCAGCAGTTTAATTGGCCGTCTCAGCACAGAGCCGCAAGCCCTCATGTGTCAAGCAAGGATGAGATGAGAACAGATGGATCCGCGGCCCCTCCAACTTCGGTCAACCTTCACTGTCCTTCACTGACCTTCACTGTCCACGTGGGACATTCACTCAGGACTTGTCAAATACTTCGGGGCCCTAGCCACATGTGCAGATCTCCCGAGAGTACCAAGGCCTGCTGGGATCCTCAGTGCCTGCCGTTATCTCCCAGCTTGTTGCACTGAGTGTGCTCTGGGATCCCTGACAGTGCAAATGGTTTGTGCTTGGCTTCTCACATAATAAAGCACTTCAAGTCCAGCTAGCCAGCATTGCCTAGGAACACAGACCTGGCATTCTGCTCCTATCAAGGTGATAGAAGGGGAAGCCCTTTGGAGCAAGCAGATCTACCCTATAATGCACAGGTCAGGCACCATGAGGTAGAATCAACTCAGCAGCAATGGGTTGGGTTTGGGGCTTTGATTTTTTGGGATTTTTTAAAAACTGCATGATCAGTAGCTTTGGATCCCAAGATCTTGAAAGCAGAGGTGTTAGCGCAGACAGGCGGCCACATGACCGTGCTCTTTTCCTCCCACCAGCAAAGCCCAGCATTACGACTGCAAGTGGTACATCCCGCTCACAGACCTGAGCTTCCAGACAGTGGACGAGTCGGATGCAGTGCCCAGCATTCCCCTGGTGCCGGATGAGGAGCTGGACGCCATGAAGATCAAGATCTCCCAGCTCAAGAGCGACATCCAGAGGGAAAAGGTGTGGGACCAGAGTACATGTGCCCCTTCACAGCCAGCGGGTCGGCACCTGCTAGGTCCCAAGAACCAGGGCAGCTCTTGGTGCACAGGGGCCCCGGCGGTGGCCACAGCCAGCATAGGGGAGGCACCAAGTCAGGAGCACTCGGGCATATCCCTGATGACCACTCTAATGGGCACACAACCTGCCGGGTGAGGAGTGTCCCAGACAGACCCTTCAGTGGTTTCCACTGATATAGGAGGTTGTGGAAAGGAGTCCTGATGGTGCAGTGGGTTAAGCACTGGTTTGCTAACCAAAAGGTCAGTAGTTCTAACACACAAGCTGCTCCGTGAGAGAAAGATGCTTCCATAAAGATTGACTGTCTTGGAACTATGGGACAGTTCCAGTCTTTCCTGTAGGGTCACTAGAAGTAGGAATCGAGCTGATGTTGAGAAACACTTGGATCAGAAAGGCATTCGAGGGAGATCTGGGTCGGAAAATTTACCCAGAGGGAGGGTTGTGAATGTCTACCTTCTGTGCTGCTGTGAGAGCACTTATCCTTCAAGAAGAGTTGACTGAGCATGCTCAGCAACTCATGCCAGGGCCAGAGGAGAGGCTATTCCCACAGAAGGGCAGCCTAGCCTGTACAGTGCAAACACTAACACACTTGGCTGCTCACTCAAAGGTTGGTAATTCAAGCCCACCCAGAGGCACCTCCAAGGAAAGGCCTGGTACTCTATCTGTAAAATCGGCCGTGGAGCACGGTTCTACTCTGACCCACGTGGAGGTGCCACGATTCGGAGTGGACTCGACAGCAGTGGCATGGTTTTTGTGCTGTGATGTACACTCTGTGAACCAGAAGTGCTGTACTCCGAATAGAGACTCATTGGCATCCCCTGCCTCCCCAGAGAGCAAACAAGGGCAGTAAGGCCATCGAGAGGCTGAGGAAGAAGCTGTCCGAGCAGGAGTCGCTGCTGCTGCTTATGTCTCCCAACATGGCTTTCAGGGTGCACAGCCGTAATGGCAAGGTGAGTGCTGCCCACCCCGCCGCCCTCTCCCAGACAGAGCCTGGGGACCATGGTCCCAGCTGTCGAGTGGCTGTCCTTTTTCTTGAGAGCATTCCCACATTGAGTGTCTTGTTAGTGCAGCACCTGCATGTGCACATACATGTACTCATGTGTGCTTGTGTGTGCACATGTTTACATTCATGCACTGCTTATGCATATACACACTAACACACTTAGGCTTACACACTTGTACACACTAACAAACTTAGGCTTACACGCTTGTACACAGATCCATACATACAAACTTGCACACACAACACTCTTAGACATACAGTCACATACACTGACACTTATACATAGGTGTGTACGCACATGTGCCTCTGTCAAGACCATCCAGGAGGTGAAATCAGGGTAGACACTAGTGGACTGAGCAGTTACCTCTCTGCAGGGTGGTCAAGGGACCCTGAGACTTGGAGTTTATGGATCCTCTGCTCCAATTTTGGCTCTCTGTATTGTGGCTGACCAGCCCTACCACCGTGGGCATTGTATGTGCCTGTCAGCACACAGACTGTGCTTGGGAGAGGGGTTGGCAGACTCAGAGATGAACGCTTTAACTGGGAATACAGCAGGTGGTCAGGCAACCCGACCACAATTCTACAGGTCCCCCTAGATCACCTCCCAATGGGGTGGTGGGGCCTCGGGCCAAGCTGCCAAGCATGTCAGAAGTAAGCGGTGCTGGGAGCACACCTGCCCACCAGGTGCCTTAGGGTACTGTGTCTGTGCATGTGTGCATACATCTGTGTTTATATATATTTGTGTGTATACATTGTTTATTATATATGTCTGTGTATTTGTGTTTGTATATATGTTATGTTTGTGTATGTATGTCTGTATATTTATGTGTGCCTGTGTTTAAATACATGTGTCTGTGTGTTTGCTTGTACACATGTATCTGTTTATGTATGTATGTCTTTTTTCTGTGTTAATTTATATATACTTGTATCTGTGTTTGTATGTGTATATATACATGTGTCTGTTTATGCTTATATGTATGTTTTTGTGTGTGCACGTGTGCTTGTATATACTTGTATCTGTGTTTATACGTGTATGTGCTTGTGTGTTCGTATGCATACATGCTTGTGTGCAGGATGTGTGTGGTCAGTGACAAGGACACAGCTAGTGATAACGACCCTGCTGCCCTCTCACCCCAGAGCTACACATTCCTCATCTCCTCCGATTACGAGCGTGCCGAGTGGCGGGAGAACGTCCGCGAGCAGCAGAAGAAATGTGAGTGCCTTGGCACCTGGACTCCCTAGCTGGGCCTTTATTTTGAGGGGTGGGCAGGGAGACCTTTTATTCACTCAAGATCTGATGTGGAGCCTGCCATGGGGAACATGGGGAACAAGAGCTGTCCTGGCAGCCCAGGCCTGTGCTAGGCTGTGTCCTTGTACATGACTAGCTTCCTGATGGCCTGGTGACTAGTGCTCGTAGTCTTGCCAGCACTCTGTCCCCAGGTTCTGTATCGCAGCGCGGGGACCCAAGAGTGGGAGTTCCTGTTCCATGTGCAGTACTGTGCTTAGAAAGAAGCCCTTTCCTTGCCGACATTAGCTGAGTGGATGCACATGCATGCTGGGCTCTGAACCCCTGCCAGGAGGATGTTGTCTCCTGCTACTGCCTCTGGCCGGGCAGACCAGTCAGTGAGTCTCTCCCCCACCCTCAGGCTTCAAAAGCTTCTCTCTGACCTCAGTGGAGCTGCAGATGCTGACCAATTCATGTGTCAAACTTCAGACCGTCCACAACATCCCCCTGACCATCAATAAGGAAGGTGGGCTGTCCTCCAGTAAGCGGGTGGGCAGGCGGGATGGCAACAGGACTCTTAGGAGAGTGGGTGCGTGCTGCCTGCTGTCCTCACCAGCAGTGGGGAGGAGGGCTGGGATGGGGAATTTTCCCTGGGGAGCTAGTACTGGGCAACTTGTAGAGCTGGCGGATGTGGAGTCAGACACTGGACCCAATAACTTTCGTCCCCTGGTGAGCTTCCTCAGAACCTTCGACCACCTGGCCCTGCCTCTCACCTGCCCCCAGCCTCCTCTCAAAGAGGCAACTTTTGGCTCCACATGTGCACACAGGTTAAGTGCTTCCTGTTACATACACACTCCCAGTACACACACAGGTTGACACACATGCACACATGCTCCCAGCACTCTCACAGGTGAGCACTCATGCATATGTGCCTATACTCCCAGTACATATAGGCATACACTTCTGTACATACACACAGTACATGCACAGCTAGTATACGCTCGTGTAGGTGTATACATGAGCATACCCCAGTACACATACAGGTAAGTATATACTTACGTTGTTGTGCACACACACCTACCCAGATACATGCACAGGTAGGTATACGCTCATGTAGGCATACACACACAGGTGGGTATATGCTTATGTAGGCACATACATGTATATACTCATCTCTCTCTTCTCTCTGGTTTCTGGCACAGATGATGAGTCCCCTGGGCTCTATGGATTCCTGAATGTCATTGTCCATTCTGCCACTGGATTTAAGCAGAGCTCAAGTAAGTAAGCAGCTGAGAAGATGGCAACAGAGGGTTTGGGAACCAGTGAGGTTGCTCAGATTTCCAGCAGAAGCCTTTGCCCCTGACCGCTGGTGCTATTGACACCCACTGGGTATTAATTCTTTTCTCTGAGTGGACATTGCCCTTTGCAGCAGCTGACTCCAACCCTGCCAGTTGGCCAGCTGCCCCCTGCAGGCGGACCTTTGAACTGCGGGGCTGGTGTTTGATGACCAAGCCAGTCTAGTTGCCTGGGAACTAACAGGAACCTTGTCTATGTCAAAGTAGAACTATGCTCCGTAGGGTCTCCAGTGGCTGGTTTTTTTTCAGAGACTGATAGCCATGTCTTTCTTCAGAGGTGCCTCAGTGTATATTCAAACCACCACCACCCTTCAGTTTGCTGCTAAATGTGGTAACCACGTGAGCCAGTCTATAGGGGAAAAAAAAAAGAACAAAATAAAAATTCCCGGCCACTCAGAGAATGGGAGAAAACATTTGCAAATCACCTGTCTGTAAGGAACGGTATCCAGAATATAGAGAGAACTCTCACAACTCAAAACTAAAGAGATACAACCCGATAAAGAAGTTGGCCAATGATCTGGGTGCATGTTTCACCAAAAAGGAGACACGCATAGCTAATGAGCACACGAAAAGACATTGGTCTCCAGTAGCCATTGTGAGCTGTTGATGTGGGTCTGACTCACAGCCACCCCATGGACAGAGTAAAATTTATGTCCCAGGGTGTAAATCTTTATGGGAGCAGACAGCTTCCCCTGTCTCCTGTGGTGTGACTAGTGGGTTCTTACTAACAAGCCACCTTGCAGTTAGCAGCCCAGTGCTTAACCAGTGTGTCACCGAGGCCCCTTCTGGTAGTTTTTCTAAAATACCAGTCTGCCCAATCACTTACCACTTACAACCTGATCTCTGTGCCTGGCCACCTCTCCTCCTCCACCGTTAACCCTGAGACATTTTCATGCATGGTTGAGCATATGGTGACGTGCTCAGGTGCTCACCAAAGGATTCATGGTTAGAAGTCCACCCAGAGGTGCCTTGGAAAAAAGGTCTGGCAGTCTGACTCCCAAAAACAACCACTGAAAAATCCTACGGAGCACAGTTCTATACTGACACACTTGGGGGCGCCACAAGCAGGCATCGACTCGCTGGCAGCTGGTTGGTTGGTTAAGCTGTTTTCTTTGCCCCAGAATAGCCTGGAATGCCCTTCCCCCAACTCTTTCCCTGGTCAAACTCGGAACCAGTTCCGCTGAGATCTCAGCCTCATGTTTCAAGATAGGACTGGCCTGACCATGGAGTATCCATCCATGCCACTGCCCACCCCACCCCACTCTTAAGTGTCTACTGAGCTGCCAGGGTGGTGGGTTCAGTTCCTGTTTCTATGGATAATAGCGTTTCCTAGCTGGACACAAGAAACTCTTTGGAGCAGGGAAGAGGGTCCCTGCCAGCACATTTGTGTTTTATTTGAAAAAGAGTGTTAAGACCATTTTGTTGTTGTGATGTTGAAAGTATCCCATGCTTCATCTCTATAGTAAATTTGAGAATGTGGGGAGAGTCCGGTCACCCTCTCTGTTCAATGTCCATAGATCTGTATTGCACTCTGGAAGTGGACTCCTTCGGGTACTTTGTGAACAAAGCAAAGACCCGCGTCTACAGGGACACAGCAGAGCCCAACTGGAATGAGGTGAGGAGCTGCTGGCTCAGCCGGCCCACTGGAGAGTCCAACTTAGCCATCTCAGGAGTCTCCTCTGGTGGGGAGCAGGTGACTCACATTGTCTCCAACCCCACCCATAGGACCTGGACTATCAGTGATGAATCTTACCCACAAACAAGAGGCCTTATTGTCTGGAGACATGTATGGAGGCAGAACTCCACAAGAATGTGCTTTCTGGCCTTTGCTGTGGCCTTATGTTTATGGGGGAGGTGCCCATAGTACTTTTCCTTGGAAGTGGAGTGGTTTCATGATGGCCCTTCAAGCTTCTGGAATCCTTGATCTCTGGCCTGTAGCTCTGCCTGCCAAAGCTGGGTAGAGACAAGGGCCGCTCAGGGCTAGTCTGGAGAGGCCTGTCTGTCTGCCCTGGGAAGAGTGGATGGAATGTGTGGCCACTGCACTCTTTTCCTGGGCGTCTCTGGGAGTTAGGAAATCACTGCAGATTAAGTCCCCAAGACCCTGGACATTACTGTGCCCCAGCCTTGGACAGTCCAGGCTGCCTTGCAGAACACGGGAGATGCTGGACCCACTCTCCTGGGACCTGTCTCAAGGCGCTTTCCCGCTCTTATCACTGGACTGTGAGCACACAGAGCCGATAAACTTGTGGTTTTTGTCAGTTGTCAAGGCTGTCAAGGCGTCTTCGAATCCTGGAGACCTCATGTAACAGAACAAAACATTCCTTAGCCCTGCATCATCCTCGCCATCCCTGGCATGTGCAAGTCTATCATTGCATTCTTATCTTATCCACCTCACCAAGGGTCTCTTGCTCTCATTGGCCCTTCACTTCTACCAACATGATGTCCTCATCCAGCAGTTGTTCCCTCCTGGTGACGTGTCCAATGCAAACGTGTTAGACCATGTTGTCTTGTGACCCATGAGAGGTTTTAATTGGCTGATGTTTGGGACATCTCCAGTCCTTTTTTCCTGTCTTAGTCTAGAAACTCTACTGCAATCTGCCCACTTTGCTGGTATTTGAAATCCCAGTAGTTGTATCCTTGGAGGTGCCTGAAGAAATGACCTAGTAGACTCTGTTGAGGGGGTGGTCAGAGTGGAAAGCCAGAGGGCCCCAAACCTGCCAATGCAGTGGGGGAAGGATCTGAGCACTATGCGAAGACAAAGGTTCAAGTCCACAATGGAGGTGCAAGGACCAGTGGTGTGGAGGGGCAGTTAGCACCAGGTAGCCTGTAGGTGGCCTTTTGTATTCCTGGCACACACTGCCTCCCACCCCACCCAGGCATAGAGCTGCGTTTTCAGCAGCACCCCTGAGGTTCCGATGCTCGTGCTGAGTGGGATGTAAAAAGCATCTGGAGGGAGGTGGGTCCTGGCAGTCTGCATCACAGGCCCAGGTCCTTCCGAAGCAGCAGTGACATTCCTTCCCTGTCTGGGCTTCAGGAATTTGAGATTGAGCTGGAGGGCTCCCAGACCTTGAGGATCCTGTGCTATGAGAAGTGCTACCACCGGACGAAGGCCACCAAGGAGGACGGTGAGAGCGCAGACCGCATCATGGGCAAGGGTCAGATGCAGGTAAGACAGCCCCACACCTCCAACGCCCATGGTCCAGGCCCACATGGCACTCTGTCACTTCACATGGCACTCTGTCACTCGTGCCTGGGATGCTTGCCCAGAGAGGGAATTTGAGCTTAGCCTGGGCTTCAGGGCACCCCTCCTGCCTGCCTGTTCTTCTGTCTGCATGTCTGTCATACTTCTTAGCCATTTTTTTCCAGCTGGGATCTCAGTTTCCCCATGCTCTGGGTAAGGTCCCAGGAGAAATGGTTGGGGTGCCATGAACTGCAGCAGTTACAGGCTCACCTCTTCCTAGAAGCACATGGAACCTAGAGCCAGCCCACTTGTGCCCCTAGGCCCCTTGAGCTGGAGGACAGCTGATGGTAATGGGTTTGTTATTGTTAGGTGCCATCGAGTTGGTACTGACTCATAGTGGCCCTATGCACAACAGAATGAAACACTGCCCGATCCTGGGCCAACGTCACAATTGTTGCCACGCCTGAGCTCACTACTTTGCCAATCCATCTCTTTTTCTCTGACCCTCCACCTTACCAAACATGATATCTTTCTCTAGTGACTGATCTCTTCTGACAATATGTCTCAAGTATGAGAGACAAAGTTTGGCCATCCTGGCCTCCTAGGAGCACTTCGGCTACACTTCTTCCAACACAGATCTGTTGGTTCTTTTGGCAGCCCATGGTACTTGCAATATTCTCCTCCAACATCATAACTCAAATGCTTCGATTCTTCTACGGTCTTGCTTATTCACTGTCCAGCTTTCACATGCGTATGAGATTATTGAAAATATCATGGCTTAGGTCAGGTGCACCTTAGTCCTCAAACTGACATCTCTACTCCTCAGTATTTTAAAGAGGTCTTTTGCAGCAGATTTGCCTAATGCAATATGTTGTTTGATTTCTTGACTACTGCTTCTGATTGTTGATGGTTGATCCAAGCAAAATGAAGTCTTTGACAACTTCAAGCTTTTGTCCACTTACATGGATGTTGTTTATTGGTCCAGTGGTGAGGATTTTTGTTTTCTTTATATTAAGGTGCAATCCATACTGAAGGTTGTGGCCCTTAATCTTCATCAGCAAGTATTTTAAGTCTTCACTTTCAGCAAGCAGGGTTGCATCATCTGCATATCGCAGGTTGTTAATGAGTCTTTCTCCAATCCTGATGCCGCCATGTTTTTCCTCATATAGTCCAATTTCTCAGAAAATTTGATCAGCACACCGATTGAACAAGTATGGTGAAAGACTACAACCCTGTCACACACCTTTCCTAATTTTAAACCATTCGGTGTTCCCTTGTTCTGATCGAACAACTGCCTCGTGGTATATGTGCAAGTTACTCACAAGCATAATTAAATGTTCCAGCATACTCATACTTCTCAATGTTGTCCATAGCTTGTCATGATCCACACAATCAAAAGCCTTTGCATAGTCAATAAAGCACAGGTAAACATCTTTCTGGTATTCTCTGCTTTCAGCCAGGATCCATCTGGCATCAACAGTTATATCCCTCGTTCCGCGTCCTCTCCTGAAACCAGCTTGAACCTCTGGAAGTTCTCTGTCAATGTATGCTTGCAACCATTTTTGTATTAACTTTAGTAAAACTACTCGCTTGAGAGATCAATGATAATGTCCAATGATTTCCACATTTCACTAGGTCATTTCTCTTTGGAATGGGCACAAATATGATCTCTTCCAGTCAGTTGACCAGGTTGTTGTCCTCTAGATTTCTTGGCACAGATGAGTGAGTGCCTCCAGTGCTGCCTCACTTTGTTGAAAGATTCAATTTGTATTTCTTCAATTCCTGGTGCCTTGTTCTTGGCCAATTCCTTCAGGATCATTGGCTCTTGGTCATATGCTGCCTCTTGAAATGGTTGAACATCGATCATTTCTTTTGGGTACAGTGACTGAGTATTCCTTCCATCTTCTTTTGATGCTTTCTGCATCATTCTGTATTTGCCCAGGGTGGTAGTAATGGTGATGGTATGCATGGAGTCGATTCCAACTCACAGCTACCCTGCATAGGGTTTCCAAGTCTGTAAATATTTATGGGAGCAGAAAGCCTCATCTTTCTCCCATGGAACGGCTGATATTTTTGAACTGCCGACCTTGAGGTTAGCAGCCCAACTCGTAACCACTGTGCTAAGCCGAGGCTTGAATTTTTTCTTCAGTTTCCTCAGTTTGAGAAATGCTGAGCGTGTTCTTCCCTTTGGGTTTTCTAATTCCAGGCCTTTGCACATTTCATTATTACATTTGACTTTGTCTTCTCAAGCTGACCTTTGAAATTTTCTGTTCATCTCTGTGCATTTGCTTTAGCATCTCTATGCTGGAGAGCAAGTTTCAGAGTCTCTTTTTGACATCCATTTTGGACTTTTCCTTCTTTCTTGTCTTCTTAATTACATTTAAAAACTTTCTTACTGTATAATGTTCTTGATGTCATCCCACAACTCTTCTGATCTTCCATTTTTAGTGTCTATTGCATTAAATCTGTTCTTCAGATGATCTCTCAATTCAGGTGGGATATATTCAAGGGATATATTTTGGCTTTTATGGACTTGTTTTCATTTTCTTCAGCTTCAGTTTGAATTTGCATATGAGAAATTGATGGTCTGTTCCAGTCTGCCCCTGGCCTTGTTTTGACTTGATATGGAGCTTTTCCATCGTCTCTTTCCATAGATATAGTCAATTTGATTTCTGTGTATTCTCTCTGGTGGCATCCATATGTTTATTTTCATCTTTTATGTTATTTAAAAAAGGTATTTGCAGTGAAGAAGTCATTGGTCTTGCAAAATTCTATCATGTAATCTCCAGGATCGTTTCTATCACCAAGGTCATATTTTCCAACTACTGATCCTTCCTCTTGGTTTCCAACCTTTGCACTCCAATCACCAGTAATGATTAGTACATCTTGATTGCATGTCTGATCTATTTCAGACTGAAGAAATTGGTAGAATTCTTTAATTTCATCATTGCTGGCATTAGTGTTTGATGCATAAATTTGATTTGCATTAACTGGTCTTCCTTGTAGGCGAATGGATATAATCCTATCAACAGACAATGCTGTACTTTGTGACTGATCTTAATAATGTTTTTTTTGATATATTCTTCAATTTGTCATTCCTGACATAGTATACCATGTAATTGTCAGATTCAAAATGGCCAATACCAGTCCATTTCAGCTCACTAATGCTTAGGATATCATTGTTTATGCATTCCATTTCATTTTTGACAATTTCCAATTTTCCTAGATTCATGCTTCGTACATTCCATGTTCCGATTATTAATGGATATTTACAGCTATTTCTCTTCATTTTGAGTTGTTCCCCATCAGCAAATGAAGGTACCATTTGCATCATTACACTCAACTAGGCTTTGAGCCAGCTCTTCCCCAGTCGCATTTTGAGTGCCTTTCAACCTGAGGGGCTCATCTCATACTATAGCTGACAATATTCTGGTGCTCTTCATCATGTTTCAGTATTCAATAATGTGGTGCTGACAGTGTTCTACTGCTGTTCATAAGGTTTTCAGTGACTAAATATTCAGAAGTAGTCTGTCTTATTCCTAGTCTGTCTTCGTCTGAAAGCTCAGCTGAAACCTGTCCACCATGGGTGACCCTGCTGATATTTAAAATATCCATGGCATAGCTTCCAGAACCACAGTAACTCACAAGCCCACACAGTACCACAAACTGACGGACGAGTGGTGGCGGTGGTACATAGTGGCTGCCAAACCCCTGAGATTCATAGCCTAGTCAGCTGGCATGTAACCATAGCCATTATATGATGGTTTCCGGTTTGGGACCGGTATGACTCATGTTGCTGTGAACAAGTCTTTGTTTGGACATTTTTTCATTTAATTTTTCTTGGGTAAAGAGTGACGTGAATAGTATGTTTAACTTAAGGAACTGCCACACTATTTCCAGAGTGACCGCTGTGTTTTACATCACCTTTGGCAGTGGATGAAACATCCCACCCTTGAAGATACTTGTCATCTTTTTGATTCATTCTTGTTAAAAAACAAAACAAAACATAAAAAGATGCCATCAAGTCTACCCTGACTCACGACAATCCCTTGTGTGTCACGGTAGAACTGTGCTGCTTTACAGTAGCTAGTTTTTCAGAAGGCGATGGCCAAGACTTTCTTCCAAGATACCTCAGGCTGCACTTCAACTGCAGCCTTTTGATCAGCAACTGAACACATTCACCACTGCACCATTTGGGGACTCTGGCCATTCTGGTAGATGTCCCTGTATCTTTTGAAGTGATGTTCAGAGATTGGCCAGGTTGATGTGTGGGTGGTTTTCTGGGTGAAACTCTTAGACCACAGTTCTTCCAAGACCCCTACTTACCCAACCCTAGGGGAAACAAGCAGCATCGTATCATACTGTCCCCCCAAACCACTGGGGTGGGAGTGGGCTCTCCCAACCTAGCCACTCTTCCCTGCAATCCCAAGGCCTGCAGCATCCGGGACAGACTCAGCTTTTTCCTGAATTGTCATTTCCCAGTCTCCTCCCTGTTTTTCTGAACCTTGGCTTCCCCTTTGTTTATGCCTTAAATAACGAGAGAGAGGCGAGCTGTCAGCCTTGGTTGGGCATTGTTGTGGTTCTGGTGATGCGAGACAAGCCCATGCTGGGATTGTTTCCTGCTGCTTCTTTGGAGCTAGGACAGCACCTGTGAACAAGCTTTTCCACTGGACATGTCACAAAAGCTGGGGGCCCATAGCCCACTGTGTTTGCCATTGATCCCTGGGCCTCCCTACCATACATAACACATGCTTACTTTGAGGTCAACAGAGTTGTGCCCTCTTCGGGGTCTGGGACTGTGCCGTGGACAGCCCACCAGGTTCCCCTCATGAGGATGGGTGCCCAAGCCTGCAGGATAGTGTGGGTGGTCTAAGCTCAGCCTTAGGGGAGTGCAGGCTGTCATGAGATTCATATCACCCAGGGGTTGCAATCATGAGTTTATCATCTGGGGGTGTGGTCCATCACGAGATTATCACCTGGAGGGTATAGTCCATCATGAGATTATCGTGGGATGCAGGTCATCATGAGAGTATTATGGGGAGAGGCGAGGCACTCTGAGGGTGCTCCCCACTGGCAGCCGTCTGTCAGGGTAGGCGGGACAGGCAGGACTTAGTCGGTCTCCAAATGTGGCCGCAGGAAACAGCCACTTAAGAAGGCTTTTCTGGGATTTGAAATGACACACTGGAATTCCCATCACTAGTGGAGTGTGGGGGGCAGGCGGGGAGGGGATTTTTTCCCCACACAGACAAATAAAGTAAAATCTGTGAGATAGGAAGTGCTGACGCGTGGAGGGCCTCCCAGAGGCGGGGCCATGAAAGCTTGTTCAAGAGGTCGAGCTGGTACTCTGGGCAGTAGAGCCGAAGATGCGAGACCCGCCTGCTGCCCTGCACTCTGGCCGGAGCTGCATGACCTCCAACAAGAAGCACCTGTGTATGTGGGGAAGCACTCTGTGGACCTACATCCGAAACTTTCTGTACAAGGGCCAGGTGGGCCAGGGGCCAGGGTGGGTTCAGTCTGGGTCACTACAGCAGGAGGCAGGTGGAGGAGACACTCCCCGCCCTGTCTGCGTTTCTCTACACTGGGTTGCTTGTGACTGCTTTGGCCAATGCTAAGTGGAGACCCAAGGAGCTCTGGCAGCGTAGTGGTTACGAATCGGGCTGCTAACCTCAGGGTCAGCAGTTTGAAACTATCAGCTGTTCTGCGGGAGAAAGATGAGTCTTTCTGCTCCTGTAAAGATTTATAGCCTTGGAAACCCTGTGTAGGGTCGCTATGAGTCTGAACTGACTCCATGGCACATAACAAATGGAGACTCAGGTGGTGTAAATGGTTAACTGCTCGGAGATTGAAAGTTCTAGTCCAAGGACTTTGTGGTTAGCAGCCCAATCAGTACCAGTCTGGTACAAACCAGCCTGGCTGACAGTGGCTCCCTATTCTGGTCACCGCTCAGGATTGCCAGGAGAATTCCAGTTTCCTGAGTCTCAGGTCCCCCAGAGCTACTGATGCAGTTGCCTGGAGGCGGGTCACAGGGTCATGGTGACCACAGTTCAAAGTAGATCCGTGCTTCGGAAGAGTTCTCAATGGCTGATCTTTCAGAAGTAGATTTCCAGGCCTTTCTGTCTTGTTCACTTGTGAATTGGGTGAAGTTTTCCATTCAGCAGTTGATACTCATTTTGTTTCATCTCAGTGACTGCCATCCCCACAATGTAACCTCACTCATCCCACTTCCACCCTCTGCTTCCTCTTCCCATTCATCCTTCTTTCCTTCTCCTTCTGAACTTCATCCTTGGGTAAACACTTTGGATCTCAAATGGTTGATTCTCCTAAGGTGTGTGGACTTCTCCCTGGTGTTATTGCTGTCCTTGGAGTGCCTATTGTTTGGCTGGAAACTGAGACCCAGGGGTGCATTCAGTTCTAGACCTGAAAAATGATAAGGGCCATACTCTTGGGGGCCAGGCCTTTCTTTTGAGGTGCCTCTGGATAGACTTAAACCTCCAACTTTTGAGTTAACATCAGAATCTGCAGCACCCACGGGCTCCCTGGACGTGAACAGAGGCTGCTTTTTAACAGCCCATTCTTGCCTACCCTGGGACCACTGGTACAGAGCATGTGTTTGCCACAATGGGAGACAGTGGGGAAGCTTTTGTGGACAGAGCTATCTGGCTCCGGCCTAGCAGTCAGAGTTTCATACAGTGGCTCAGGTTGTTTGTTGTCATTACTCATCAGCTGTGCCTTGCAGCCTTCTCATGAACACAGAAGTAAGCACTGGCCAAGTCATGGACCATCTCCCGAATCAGTGCTATGTTTGAGCCATTGTTGTGGCCATTGTGTAATCCATCTCTAGGAAGGTTATAGTTCTCGCTGACCCTTCACTTCACCAAACATCAGGCCCTTTTCTAGCAGTTGCTCTTACCTGGTGACGTGTCCAGTGTAAACAAGGTAAAGTCTGGCCATCCTCACTTCTGAGGAGCATTCTGGTTGTAATTCTCCAAGACTGACTGGCCCGCTCTTCTGGCAGTCCAGAGTGTATTGTGTCCTTCTCCTGGTGGTCCACGGTGTATTTAGTTTCCTTCTTCTCATGGTCCATGGCATATTCAGTGTCCTTCTTCTGGCTGGTGATGATTGTGTGCCACTTAGTTGGTTCCAACTCATGGCAACTCTGTATAGGGTTTCCGAGGCTGTAAATCTGTATGAGAGCAGAAAGCCTCATCTTTTTCAGTGCCCTCCTTCTGGTGGTCCATAGCATGTAGCCCCTGGTGTATTCAATGTCCTTTTTCTCCACCACCACTTAGATGCATCCGTTCTTCTTTGGTCTTCCTTTATTATGTCCAGCTTTCGCTTGGACCTCATGCATTGGAGGAGATTGAAAGGCCAGGGCTTGGGTCAGGGGGTCTGAGTCCTCAGATTATGTAGGTGACTTTGGGTGATACAACAGGCAGGTTGGTTACCTGGGAAATGCCTTCCAGGGGCAGAAGTCAGGGACAGCAGAGGGGCTTCCTCTCATCCTCCTCCAGTGCATCCTCCTGGGCCCCCTATGTGCCAGGAGAGAAACCCACAGGAGCTTTCAGGTGCTGTGTCTGGAATTGGGCTCCCTGAAGTACTGTTTAACCTGACTGCTCCCCCTCCCCCAAGTTCCACATGAGAGTCCCCAGTGGTAGTTCAGTGTGGTGAATGGGAGGAGAGGGGAACAAGAAAGACAGCAGTGGACACCAGCTCGCACTGGGATGCTTAGGCCTTGAGATGGCACAGGTGGGTGCTTCAGCGTGCTGAGCTCGGGCCCCAGGGTACCTAGCAGACAATCTTGGCCTCTGAATGGAGGTACCAGCCTCAGTCAGCTCCACTGAGACTTTGGCATGGAGAAGCGGAGGGGTGGGCTGTCACCCACCATGCGCTCCAAGCAGACTCGAGGGCATCTGCTAATCACAACCCACTGTTGCAGCTGGATCCCCAGACGCTGCAGGAGAAAGACTGGCAACGGACCGTCATCACCATGAATGGGGTATGTATCCATTCTGCTCTGCGGCACCCACGCTCTAGAAGGTTGGGGTGGCCTGACTTTTCTAACACAGACACAATGAGGCAGAGCCTGGGTTACTGTGGAATGTTGCGGCTAAGATGGTAGGGCCCTAGGATCCGCTCTTAGAGACCAAGCTCTCTCCATTACTGTCCAGCCCTCTAGAAAGGTTCAAGCCTTTATAAAAGCAGCTCTGTACACAAGGATGTTCTGAACTCCAAGTGTAATTGACAAAATATTATCATTTGATAGTTAATGGGTGCATTAGAGTTCTCTAGGGAAACAAGTGTGAAACAAAGATCGATATGCATATATACATACATTGTTGTTTTTACAAAGTGCCTTTGAGTAAGTTCCAACTCAAAGCGACCCTGTATTGGGTTTCCGAGGGAAGGGACAGCTGGTGAGTTTGAACTGCCAATCTTGCCGTTCAAACTGACCTTGGGTTCCAGTACCACG